ATAATGCATAACTATTTATTGAAGAGAAAGAAGGTTTGAAAATGAAACGTGTTTGACATAATCCCTTCAAGGACGCATTTTAAATATTTCAACTACATTGCACTCATGCGAGATTTAGATCCAGAAGTAGTTGCGACATTTTGGTATAGTTCTTGAGGCCTCAACATCTGACCTTAATTGTCACAATCGTCAGCGTCACTTACAGTACAGATATTCATATATGTGAAACATTGGCGGCATGCCCACTATACTGTTGAGTGGGCGTATGCTGATACCTTGAGAACAAGTGTTTTTTCGTCTCAAGTATCATCTCATGAACACCGTAATGTTAGGGCTTGTTAAGTAGTAGTCAGTTGTTTCCTTGATCAAATCGTCACGCTTAGTGAAGAACAGAACAAAAGCATAATGAAATAGCATACAACTGATTTTGTTTATTCACTGCATCCAACTTTGATTATTTTTATCCTTTTATGATTAAGATTGCAAACAAGCAAGATTGCAGTCAGAGGTTTTAACGAAATAAAACTCGTCTGCGTCCTTCATCCATTGTGTTCCAGTGGTTGGTTTGTGGCTCACAACCATCAAGATTTGTGTTCATCTGGAGACAAGCTGTTATACTTCTCCAAATTCCTCAGTAGGAAGTCTGATGCTGTTAACCTTCAACAACACAGGATGAAGTGTTACTGGATAGGGGGTTGTTGGGACCTCTATGTTTGTAAATGTGTTCAATTAAAACCGGTTTTCATCAGTGAAGAAACGAAACCATACCAATCGTCTATCGGAGTAGCAAGTATTGAGGTTCCATTCCCTGGTTTTCAATAAAAAATGATTTGGATATTAAAGTGCACCATTTTTCGTGAATGAAGATAAATTAAAATGCATTTGATTAATTAATTAGAACTGATCATCATTCAGACTTCACCTTCACCCACATTCCTCAGCTCTTCCAGTCAACCATACACTTGGAGGCACTAGACTCGGGTTCGCTCTTATTAGAGCTCATCAGTAGTGCATATCTACCGTCCCGTCCGGGATTTGAACTCCGGACCCATAGCAAGGAAGGCGCGTGTGTTACCACTCTGCCAACCAGCTCATGTCAGGGTTGAACCGAATTCCCAATTCATGTTTACTCGGGTGTGGTCTTCAGAGATAGTCATTTCAATTGGAAATTCAATCCAGCCCTGACATGAGCTGGTTGGCAGAGTGATAACACACACCTTCCATGCGATGGGTCGGAGTTCAAATCCCGGACGGGACGGTAGATATGCACTACTGATGGGCTCTAATAAGAGCGAACCTGAGTCTAGTGCTTCCAAGTGTATGGTTGACTGGAAGAGCTGAGGAATGTGGGTGAAGTTGAAGTTTGAAGGATGGTCAGTTGTAATCAATTGATTAATATCAATTGTCCCACAATACTACTCACAAGTAGTTGTGATTTAAATGCGAATTAACATGCACTTGTCAACTTATTTATATGGTATTCTCTCCGTATTTTCGAACACAGTGGTATCTCGAATGTTTTTTCACGAGGAGAAACTGCGCTTGTTCCTGACATTCAATAATTCCCTGACCATGTTGGAAATGAAAGTGAAGATTCGGGATCGTATTTTCAGTCACGAGAAACCGATAGTTGGTGTTGTTTTCAATTCCATTTTTAATCAGGTAAGCATCACATATTCTATTCCCTATCTTCGCACATTTTAGATTTCATTGTGCGTGGTTCACTGTTTTTTAATCTTTTGTGTCGTGCATCCAAGGAGCTTATTCACATAAAAATGGTTAACCTGAAATCGACTGAACAATGGATACTGAAACGCTCACTGAGTAACCGATTCAGTATCCAATGCATAGAAAAATCTGAACATGAATTAGCTTTTTTATTTTCAACCTAACTACTTATGAGTGGTGGAGTGCGGTATGTGTTTTAGAATTTGTTGCCAATCACTGCGAGGTTTGTTGTCTGTGCAAGCTTAGAGCTGAATCATTTAGTGTGGTCTGTTCCTCATCTGGTGACCGTAGGAAAACAAACGCGCTGTCATTAAAGTGTTCCGATATATCATTGTAGTTTGACGTAACCTCGCACTGTGTTCGGTTAGCACAGTCATTCTCGTATTACTGTCCGATCGATCAATTTTTGTGAGCGGATTAAACGATCAACCTTAAGTGAGATGATTTGTCAGGATTTTGCATCGTGCACCTCTATCGTGTGCTGTAGATATATATAATATTGGCTTGCGGACTAGCATGGCGAATAAGAGCGGTATATATTCAAAGAACAGTCAACAGATCATCTTCGGCTTTGCGTCAGGCAATAACAATAACAGTCATCGTTTCAAGTGACTTAACTAGGTGAATATATTCCAGCAGACGGAAGATACAATCTTCTTCTGATTACGGAATCTGCTTATACATCAGAGGAGGAGGATTTTGGAGAAAATTTTTATTGAAACTGAATATTTTTTTATTTTCTGACATCTGATCTGCATGGAAGCTCATCGTTTGTAAAAAACACTGAACAACTGGATTCGTGCAAGAGTAGGCCTCAGTGACGTACACCAGAGCCTCATGAGGTTACTCTTTACTGTATTTTATCTGCCACGTCTCACTTTTTCATCTCTCTATTCAGACAGTTATGTTTCACCCTCGCATTTAAAGCTGCACCCCAGTACTTCATTCATTAGTTGCAGATTCTTCTGGATCATTAAATAGCTCTTGAAGATTCTCTGTGACTTAACATATTTCCTCAGTATACAGCATCGTTGTCACTCGGGGTTTATTTATTCTATTGTTCAGCACACAGTAGTATGTGTCATAATAAAAAGAGATGATAGAATCAGTTCGTTTTTATTGCTATTCCATTTAGATTGTTTCCGCTTGCCAAAGTGGCACAATTTCTTACTGGCTGGTGGACAGTGGTCAACGAGTGAAAAACATTGCTCGAAGTCACAACGATGCTGAACTGACTTGCCTGGTTCAGGACCCAACTGAGACTCGACTATTCACTGGCAGTACCGACGGGACAATTAAGGTGAGCCGTCCCGGGGGTTTATCGAAGTGGCCATTCCTGTGTGAATTCATCCTGTCCAGTGGGTTTGTTACGTGCTGTTACTCCGAAAAATGTACAGACTGGGGAACTGTATCCTTGCATTCCAAAGATACTCGATCATTAGCGATAATCGTTGTGCCCAGTCTATGAATCTTTCTGAAAAAAGTGGTTGCATCGGTATTCAAGATGATCCGTGTTCCACAACGAAAATAGACTGCAACAGTGAATGGCCTAATATTTGTCCAGTTTGATCATCCTGTGCACAATCATGTCAAGATGAGAGTCGTAAGCGAGAATGTAATTGAAATCGCTCTCTTTTGTTGTCTCACTTAATACTAAACAGCTCTACCGGATGAATTGCGTGGAACTCAACGGTCGTAATTTACAACGCTGTGCACCATACATTGAAAGTAGTAGGAATATGTTGATTTCCGTCAAATTAGTTGACAGTTAACACGGTCATCTTTACACGCACACATTTAAAGTGAAAACCTCGAATTACGTTATCACCGGCTTTTAGTAGTGCACTAGTAGTAGTGTTGTGAGATGCTACTTACTTGTGAGTAGTAGGTAACATAGTTGGTGGATACTTTCAACGACCAAAAATTAATAAAATCACCGAGGGCAATTCGCTGAGTCTCAAAGAAGAAATCCCGATTTCTACGTTGCTTACCCGTCCTGTGGACAGGAACTGCGATGGCATGTTTCTGATGAGATTTTCTGTGTAATGTATGTATATTACTGATGTCCCATATGTTATCCTGAATAAACAAGTATCCTCGACCAGCACCGTCTTCTGGAATTATAACAGTAGCTGTAGCAGCTGCCGATGGGAAACTGCAAAGGGATTGCGTGAGTTTGGCAACAATTTTCATGTGTTNTTCCTTTCATTAGTACCGAATCAATGGTGAAGGAATTTGTGCAATGATTGACAAACAGAACTGGGTAACTGTTGCATTCATGTTGGGACTCGTTGGCAATCAGTAATATTTCTATTCTGTTCGACTACTCAGCCGCGAAAATTCGTACACACATCTGAACTACGCAATCGGCAGTCAACAGATGAACAGCATGGCTACATCTCATTTTCCCACAGAAATTAAGTGCAAGAAACATGTGGGACATTCACGAATTGCTGAGGAGTGAGACTTGCATAAAAAGAACAGCACCCAGGCCATGATGTCTTCAAAGTTTCACGAGACACCTCGCAACCTATAGAATTCATTCTCACTAATGACCACTTCTTGACAATTTACTCAACAGTGCCAATACGTGGGATACTCATTCACCATTGCTCTAACATTTCAGATATGGGACATGAATGGCTATTGCCATCACACGCTTATATGTTTCGGTGGTGCTCATGCGGAAGTCGGACAGGTTGTGATTCTCAAACGGGCTGTGATTGTAATGGGAAGTTCGAATCATTTCACCGTGTTCCGAACAACAAATTTTCGTGATCACTATGTCTATCCTTCCGAATGGAAAGGCGGTCCGGTAAGTTGATCATTCATTTGTGGGTCCAGCTTCATTTTTTGGTTGTCCAAACTGGGATGAAGAACTTAGCGGAATCGCGAAAATCAAATATAGTCTGAAAGTGTCAAGATCCATGTATAGATTCGTTTACGACAATCAGGCATGTCACCCAGTTTATGCAAAGACTGAAGAGGGCATAAATAGTCGGATAGTGATAGGCCAAGGAAAATTTTTGTAACTAAAGTGATTAATGGAGATAATCTCTTTTTCTCTCTCTGCACTTCCCTTGTCTGTCAGGAACACAGTGACGATGTGCTGACGGGAGTTGCACTGCCACCCAACGGTTTGATCACCGGGTCATACGATGGTGAACTGGTGGTGTGGAATACCAATTCAGAGTTGGCTGCCCGGCGAATGACACAAAGATGCAAACGAATGAGTAATGAGGGAAGTAGTGGCAAATCAGTAGTTCTGTTGACCGTTTCTATTCAACTGATTTTGCAGACTAGTCGATTCTTAGAAAAACATATCTTGTTTCAATGGTTTGTTTGAATCTTAGATATATTGGACATTCCTCGCTCTTTTTTGCTATTTACAGACAGTAAGCAGTATTCTCACAACACCCACCTTATTATTTCCCTTGCTGACAAATTTGAACTGCAGGTGTAAAATCTTTTACTCAAATACTGTAGGTAACAGTCAAACTATTGTGTTTCCGTTACAGTCGTCGGATTTCCTCTTCAATATCTCTCGTCTCGTACTGCTGTCTACTCGGAAACATATAAGTTCTGGAAGTCAAAAAGGTGCCAATATTGTATCTTGCGGTGGAAATGGGATCGTACGATTTTGGAACGCCTATGCATGTATTCTGGTTGGAGAATTTACCGCTCATCAAAACGGTAAGTACGAAAAGGGGATAGGGCACGTAACATGTGCTGCCCCTCCACCGACACCAGTTTATAAGGGGGAAATAAAATGTCATTGTGTTTGAACGCTAAGACAAACTGAGAATTAAAACCTAAGGCACCCAAGTTACGCTTTGAGTGAGTTCATTTCAGGTTTTAACATTAAAAGACTTCTACTACCGTACTCTAGGTCCATTCGGCTAAAGGTCTTGATCGGCTAGTCAAGAAAAACATTGATACTTGTCCCATCACTTAGCCTTGTGCATTGGTTAGCCTTTGATCACATGCTCGGTCCAGAAAATCACTGCTTAAGGCTCATTGGATCATGGTTACGTGATAGTCACTATATCACGTCAAGTTGACCCCTCTAGTCATGAAACCCCATCATCAACCGATGGCATGTCGTGAGTTCGGTCAACGGTGTCTAAGCGTCAGAAGAAATCACTTTTAAGCACTTGAGATTGTTGTAGAGATAGATACTAAGTACCGCACTATGGCTATAATCCTAAGCTTCATGTGCCCAGATTTGTTGAAGTCACTGTTATTCTTTTCCAAGAACAGTCAACAATTCGAAATTCGTTGATGAAATACACCTCTAGAGTGTTGAGCCAACTTGGGTATCTACTTTGAAACCCCTATTTACCGTCGCTGGTATTTAGAAAGTGAAAAACGATTCACTTCATTAGTAAGTGAACCAATGTGCTCACTTTTTCCTATTACATACCATAAGCAAGACTTTCCATGCAACCATGCTCCAAAATGCTTTCATATCTAGTTTATCCATCTACTGACCTTTAGAAGAATGAGAGCTTGATGCTACAACCTTCTTTTGTGTTTATTTCTTTACTTGTTACTGCTACTACATGACCCGGCGTCTGTATGATTACATCCATCTTGCGCAACATAGAATCTTGTACAATAGGCCGATAACAAGTTTGGTGGTTGGGCATGTTGGTGATACCAATCACACCGTAGCCCTGAAAGGAATCAATATAGGGCCAATCACTCATTTGAGGTCCCCATCGAAGGAGCCTAACGGTGGCTATGGGATCCAGTCTACTGGTTAGGGGTTTCATACACTCCCATGACAGTTTTCTACCCACTGTCTGCCTTGGCAAACATTGAGCACCGTGGCAACCTATGTAATGATGTGCGCAATGCATGTCTTATTCACCGTGGTGTATGAAGGTTGATCACTTGTTCCAGTGGGCGACAACGATTAATTAAATCTCTGCACCTAACGTCAGAATTGCCCGTCCGGGTTCCCCACCAGATGTGTGCAATACGACCCAGGCAGCGGTGTTTGAACACCGACAATCTATTTTGGCAAGTCTGGGCACCGTAGAGCAGGACTGGCCTAACTGCTGCAACATATGCTGGACCCTTCAAAGACGGCCTGATATCGCGACGGCGCCACAGATGTTTGAAGTTAGCAAATATTAATTGAGCTTTGTGCATGCGTGTCGACACATTAAAAAATACGCTCATTTGCAACTTTGTGTTCTCAATAAAGTTCAACCGAATACTGTATTCCGGTAAATTGTGGTGTCAGGTTTGAGTTGTCCACCATCGCGTGCCCTCGAGATCAAATGCCAATGCTGATCTTACTTTATTTCGCGTCACGGTCCTGATATCTATTTGAATTCACCTGAGCCGTTATCCAGTTAAGAAGCTAAATTAGCGTTGGAGCATGATTCATAGTAGCAAATACGTGTAAATTATAAATGATTTATACAACAAACATAAAAGATGCTGACCTCAAGGCCTATTTCTATGAAATTTTACCTCTTCTATGCTATAAAATCTGGTTGGATATCAAAATTACACCAAATAAATTCTTTCAGTTTTGCTCATGAAATATTCTTCCATACTGCGTTGCCGTAAAATCAGTTCTATACAGTGAATTGTGTTCTAATCACTTACCTTTTTCCTTACTGACTCTGGTTAGTTGCTCTTTTGTTGTTGATAGCTAGCAGTATCATTATGAACGTGGATCCAACCAATGAATATCTTGCAACCGGAGACGTGGAAGGCACCGTCAAAGTTTGGAATATCAAAGACTACTGTATGACCGAAGCTGAGTATGAAGTGACGGAACCACCAGGTACTGTTTGATTTATGATGAGCCCCGCTAAGCAGGTCACACTGCTTCCGTTACTTGCATAAAATATGTTTTGAATAAACACAATTGAAAAAAATGTGTAGTCCTATCGAGTATTACCTTTGGTACCTGAACAGAGTTTAACAGCGTTGTTTCCTACCTGACTGGAAAGATTACTTTTACTGTTTTAGCTCACATGGTTTTGGTTGGTTGCAGAACTAATAAACTTGGAGCTGACTGCTTATCTTTATGAATTGCACGTGCCCCATTAGGGCAAAGAATATCCTTTTTGTGAGAATTGTTTATACATTTGGAATAAATTTACGTTTAGGAATCACCGAAGTTTGTACGTACTGTTGGCATGTGATCACCGAATTATTCTACAGGTGCGTACCTCTGAACTTCGTCTGTGACCGGTGTAAGTTCAGTATTTTCTTTCCAATTTTAAGTGCAGCCTAATGCCCATGGTTGTAAACTGTCATTTATCGAGCAACATCGATGCACTCATTGGTCTGGCAATTAGCTAACTGAGGTTTATTGCCGGTAATTTGATGAACTGGCAAATGCTTACTGGCTGGGATACTAGACGCTTCGGGGCATATGCCATTACTTTAGCAGCGTTCAATATACCTATTGGTATATTTGCAGGAATAGTGCAGAAATACAGTAATGGAAAGGTTAGCAACGGTAGTGGACTTCGAA